TTTTCTTGAAGTAACACACAGTGGTGTGTTACATGATTTGTAAATCTTTCTGGATCACCTAGATGGTCAGAGGAATGGATATCAGAGGAGTGATGCGATTCCTGCATTACATGAATTTAAAGACTTAGAGGACTTTAAGCATTATCTGTACCTTTACAGGAAGGTCTAGTTTGCAAGGCTGGCCTGCCAGCACTTTATCTTCAGTCTTTACTTCCTTCTTGCTCTTACTTTTCCTTCTTCTCCCATATTCTGGATTTATTTTTGTTTCTCAGTGATATCCAGAAAGATCTTTCTCCTAGCATCCATCGCTTATCCTCAGTGAAAAAGGCAGGTGAAAAGTCAAAGGGGAAAGGGAAGGTATAATAGGAAATTTATATTTGCCTTCTAACTATTCATGTAAGTTGTGGTTGTATGAGTTACTCTGTGGGGCCAGTTATATTGGAGACAATTTACTTTACCTGCAATCTCCAGAAGTATATATTCCCACCAAAAATCCCAATGATTCAAAAGACCTATCATTTTTCTCAAGAGTACTTTGAGGCAATATAATTTTAATATGCTTTGGAAAGCATTGTACATCTTGGTAATAAAAAATAGTGTAAAAGGAGTATTGCAGACTAAAATATATATATATATTTTTTTTTAATCAGTATGCCTTTTTCTCTGCCCCCAAGGCTCAAATCCTACTTTTAGATGGGTTCTCACAAAATCTTCATGTTAACAAGACTTCGATTTCATTGCCGTTGGTTGTTGTGAACCGTGAAATACAATCGCCTATTTCTATTTCACCTTCAGGCATGGTATGAAGAAAGGGGTTTATCTTCATGTTTCCTGTTCAGAAGGGGCCTAGAATTGCTTCTCTAATGCCTCCTTGTCTTCATATGGGGTTGCTTCCATGTTATTTTTGCCTTTTGTTCTTCTGGCTCAGTGGTACTTGTATTTATTTTTCACTGAGAGAGAGAAAGTGTGTATATTATTAATCTCTTCCTTTCTTCTGAAAGCTGCTAACTGTGCAAAGGGAAAGCGTATTCTTATTTATATAGGGAGTCAAAGTTTTTTTCACTAGCTTAAAATTAAGTAGCTAAACTAAATTAAGCATATAGTTGGAGGCAGAATAATGGGTTAGATTGATTATAGACTTAGTACAGGACTCGCTTTAGTCCTAGGTAGATATTTAGCTGTCTACATTGTGGGCTTCAAGAGGCTTCATGTGCAGCATAGGTAGGGGCTCTGTATGTGTTGTTTTTGTTTTTTTTTCTTTTAAAAGTAATGGGAAGAACTGTCTCATCAATGAACTAGTAAAGTGCATGATTTTTTTGTGGACCAAGACTGTAAAGTCTGGACACATTTCATTGATAGCACATCTCCTTCTTAAGTTCAGTATATTCTGCAGGTGATTTTTGGACTCCTAACTTCACAGATCAGGAGATATCTGTGAGCTTTTTTTTTTTTTTTTTTTTTTTTTTCCTCCTCTGCCAGTTTATGGATAAATAAAAAATATTTATTTCCATACAAGGGATGGAAGAAATAGAATACTTTGTAACAGATTTTTTTCATATTTCTAGAACTGCTTAACTATACTTCTGGGAAATATACAGATTTTTTTTTTTTAAGCAAGCTGTTTTCCCAGTGTCTTTTCAAGTCATAATTTGCTTTCTATTTCAAATGTAATATCTGGTTATTACCAAAACAGATGACATATAAGATTTAGGATCAAAATTTCAGAACTTAAAAGTTTTTATTTGCATAACTTAATTTAAAAGCATCGTACATAGTGCAGATGCAGAACATATTTAAATAAGCAAGTTTTAAAGAAGTATCTGTTATTAAAGGTGTTATGATATTCCACAAGTGGTGATGGATGATTCATGTTGTCTCTAGCATAAAGAACCATCAGCCTTTGGATATGAATTGGTATGTCAATATTTGGAAATACAGATCCTTAAACTACACGTCTTTGCTGTAATCTAGTAGTACTGTTTAAGATGTTTTAAATTTCTCAGAGCAACATTATCGTAAAGTTGTATCAAATATTCTTTTCCAATTTCTTTTGTGAATGTCAATTTTATATAGATGTTGTAGTGACTTAAAGGGTCAATTAAAATAATTTTTGCTGGATTTTGAGTGGAAGGATTCTGTGTTTTTAGACAAAAACAGTGAATATCGTTGTCATTTACTGTACTACCATCTTGTTTGTTAATCAGTATGAATGCAGTCACAGCGTTTCTTCTTTCTTCTCTTTTGAAGACAAGCGGCTCAAGACCTCCTAATTTTAGTAGCAACCACTGTAGATTTTTTACCTCTTTCTTTCATAAGATGTTTCCTCAGTGCGGTTTTAAGTCAGGCTGTGGAAAAGATGCATTTCCTGGGATTGTTATTTTGTCAAATACTATGCCATTGTTCAAATATAAGGAATGCTACTTGAAAGAATTTAAGAATTTTGTAATTATGTTTGGAATACATGGACAAAGGAAAAATATGTTAGGTTATGAATCTACAAATGATAGATATTATGAAATAACTTCTTCCTCTGGTAAAAAGGGAGAAATTACCTTTGAAGGAGAATGGAGGGAGAAGCAGGATGGGAAATCAAGATTCACAGGAAGTTAGAACTTCCTGTGAATGAAGTTCTGTAGTGTGAATATACTTCTCTACTGTAAATCACACTACAGCTTATTTCCTGGTGAAGCATGCACATTTTTTCAGAAACCTGTGTTGGATGACAAAAGCAGGATATTCACTGAAAATGTGGAGGTAAATGTATTCTCTCATTTCTTTCAGAATATTTTGTCCTGCTTATAAAATGATTGTTTCAGACTTGATACAGTTTTGCCCATTCATGATTCAAAAATATATACAGAGGGATATCACCTGTTAGGGAGCAGAAGGAGTTAGTATAGTGAAACAGGGCATGTGGTAGGTGACTTGAGCAGGAAGCATATTTTGGTCCATGATTCATGAGTAAAATCATTTTTCTGGAGAACTGATAGTTGGGCCATTGCATTGCAGATTTTTCCATGTGTATTTTCAATAACTTTTTTTTTTAATGGCTCTGTTGATAAAAAAAAATGAAAATTCTTAAGTCTAAACCACAATTTTATCCTGTTCTTGTTTCTCAGCAACTCAAAATATTTAATCAATGCTTGCATTTTTACGGGAATAACATGATCAGGTGAAAATTTGAGTTACCAATTCAGAATACTTTAAAGGCATCAGATTCTTTACACTGATTATTAGAAATGATGTTTTGAAATGTGCCTGTTATTATTATATAACTGGGAAAATTATAACGTTGCAGCTCACAGTTGGCTTCCTAGTATGTTTGCCCTTAGCAAAGTGGCAAAGTCTGTAAGACGAAAAAGGCAAGAAACAAAAAAAAGTATTCAGCTCTCAAGCATTGCTGATGTCAGATGAGATGGAGCCTTTTGAGGGATGCACTGTGTACTTTCTCTGTGTTTCTTCTAGCTTGCAGATATGTGATCTAAGAAAAAATGCGCAAAATAAAACTCTAAATTACAGAAATTGTAATAGCCTATGTAAGTTAACAATTAGGAATTAAAAAATAAAATACCTTCATGCAGCAGTGCTGCCGGGACTAAAGCAACATAACTGTGCTGTTTAAATTGTGATCTGCTTTCCAGATGCTTATCTCAAGAAGATCACAATATAATTAATACATTCTTAGAACTTTGCTACTTTGACTAGTTAGGTTGATAATCTTTGAATATATTAATAGAATAACAACTGTTTGCACTATTGCCAAATAATATTTGACCAGTTTAAGAACAGCTCAGATATCAGAGAGAAGCATGTGTGAAATGATTCCAAAGATAATTTTAGAATTAACTTGCTCACCTATTGTTTTTAATACTTTTTTTCTTTCTCATAATAGCTCTTGGCTTTCCTGACTTAGTATGTGTTATTGACTTTTTGCTTTTTGAAAATGATTTCTGTATTGTAGTTACCTTCTTTCTAAGATGTTCTCTGTGTTTTTTTATCCAGCACTTCTATCCAAACAGTAAAAAAAAAGATCCAATCTATAGCTATATGAGTACATTTTAATTTTATTTATAGTACTGTTGCACTGAAAATTTGGAGTGCAATTAACTGGGCT